CGAGTAACAATATGACAATGAAAGTCAGTTTTATCGGTACTATTACTCTTATTTACATCTTAATAAAAGTTTATTTTTGTTTCTATCACAACGAAAGATAAGCAGCATTCTCGACACTGTTACTCAGCTTACAGACTATAAGTGCGTTTTAAGTCTATAATACATAATCAATAATATTAATTGTCAAAAACGGGAAAGGATTAGTGAAGTACTCTTTCTTCTTAGGCTTAAAACAATTTAGGTTTAGACATAGAGGTCAGCACTATAGTTCTTCGTCTGCATATAATAATAATTTTTTCAATCACATTTTCATCATATTACGCTACACATGGACGTGATTTGCTATAGATATAACTGGTAGATATGTGATATGCAAAAGAAGGAAACTGATCTTTACCATATATAAATTACAATATCCTTGAACACGAACAATGGGACTATAGATTATAAAAAGTTAACAATATATACACACACAAAAATAAAGGTTATAAAATATATTCAAGAATCTATCACTATTATTAATTAAATCAGATAGTGTCAACAAATATTTCCAGTTTAAATAATTCATCAGATCATTTACTTCACCTCGTTCGTATTCCAGCGGTGGCGCTGTGACGGGAAATAGTCCACTTTAGGAATGGTCTCCAGGTTGCAAGGTAAGGTTGGCCGACCTTGGTCCGCTAAAAGGACAAGAAAAACTATTTTCAGTCGTGTTAAGAAAAAAGCACAACAGTTTTACTCTTTCATAAAAAAAAACTTTTTTAGAGGACAATAACAACCACAAACTTCAGTAGACTTCACTAAAGAAACGTGTACACAGTATAGGAAACTTTATATACATATACGTTCATTTCATAACTAAACAGCACATTAGATCATTCGTTCACTTCATAACTGAACAGCACATTAGCTAAGTTCACTTCATAACTGAACAGCACATTAGATCATAAGTTCACTTCATAACTGAACAGCGCATTAGATCATAAGTTCAGATGTGAACTGAGTGTAAAATTATTGTGTATTGTTTGGATGTGAACTGAGTGTAAAATTATTGTGTATTGTTTGGATGTGAACTTAACATGATTTGATGTATTTTTTCTGTTGTGAACAGAACGTATGACATGATGTATTGGTCAGTCGTAAACTGAATGTAAAATTCTGATGAATTGTTAAGATAAGAAGTGAACTAATGATCTAATGTGCTGTTCAGTTATGAAGTGGACAATACACAATAATTTTACACTCAGTTCACATCCAAACAATACACAATAATTTTACACTCAGTTCACATCTGGACAATACACAATAATTTTACACTCAGTTCACATCTGAACAATACACAATAATTTTACACTCAGTTCACATCTGAACAATATATCAGAATTTCACATTTAGCTCACAGCAGTTCACATTCAAAATTTACAGCCAGTTCACAACAGAATTTTACATTCAATTCATAACTAGACAGTACATCAGAAATTTACATTAAATTAATAACTGAACAATTCATAATATCATTTTGAAAGCCCTTACATAAAAGAATAACGTAAACTTCAAACAAAATTCAAAACCGATAAGTGAAGACAATGAAAAAATCATACACCAACTTAAAAATGCAACAAAATGCAAAATACATCGTTCGTTTGTGCTGCGAGACAAAAGAAACAATCTGAATAGTTGATGGTTTTTATGCCCTGCGGACGTATATATGTTAAGCAATCATTTGGCCCTCGCAACATAACACCGGTTACACCTCAAGAAATGGCCAAGGGAAATACAGCTTAAGGTATAAAGAGATTTGATTACTCTTAGCAATCTTTTTTCCTTCAGTTTAATGACACGTCTGTGTGGTGTTACAGATTCAGTTAGCCAGGAAACCAGTCAGATTCGGTGATTAAGCCGCTTTTTAAAGTTTATTGGAATCAAAAGATCAGAGATTTTGTAGTCACACTAAAGTTTACAGAGACAAAGAAAATGTGAAAAAATCAATCAGATTCAGTGTTTAACTTTCGATGTTTAATGAGAGAATGAGACTAAAAAAAAATTCAGAATGAGTGTTTTTGCAGTATGGAATTTGCCAAGGCAAAGACATTAGTCTGATATAGTGTTTATACTATTTGAAGTTTCCTGGGTCCAAGAAACCAATAAGAATATAAATTCTGACTAATAACCAAGTTACAGTTCATGTAATGATTAATACACGTAACGATACGTGATGAATATTGATAAGTATTTTCAAAAAAGGTTTGGAATAAATAGTATAAAATGCCAGAACTTCGTTGAGAAAACAACAAAAGACTGTAAAAAAGTTTAAACAGTTAGAAAAACACACAGATATAAAAAACAATTAACCATGTGGGGTAAATAACATATTACCCGAAAAAGGATCTCCAGTGAGACGAAAGCTTGTAAATAATGAAGAAATTAGCACTTACGTGAAAAGATATCCCGAGTTTTATCTATAACACACTAGCTGCTGCTGTACAGAGCCTTCCTAGTCAGTCCCTTAATTGTTTGTAACCTAGAGAATATCCAGTGGGAAATTTCAGAATGGCGGAAACGGATAAGAATCCAGTTATTCTGTCAACAATCTCTAGCTACTGGAGCGCGCGTACGAGCTTACTGAACCACTCTTCCATAGAATAATTTAGTATATTGGCCATCGTTTGATTGTTGTTTATAAGGAGTTAATATGACTATATCGTAAAGAGGATTATTTCTAGATAGCTTGTACCTTTATTCAGTGTTAACGGGAAGGCGTATGTGAAGCGATATTTGATATTGTTAACAGACAGTCTAGACTGGCGCTACTTATCACATGGGTCATCTAGCGACCTTTGATGGATACATCCAAAACTTTACACACAATTCTTAGGAGCAAGTTTTGTATATAATATTCGTATCTTTATCTATATGTTCAAATGTGTAGAAATAATTAAAGGTTGTTTGTTTTTTTTTGTTTTTTTGGGGGGGGTGTTTTACTTAAAGTTTAATTTGATAAATAATGTCTTCCCATACCTACATCGGCTGTATCTCTGCACATACCTCCTTCCATCATACAAAAAACAGTTCTTTGCTTTGTAACTGTTTATTGCCTTATGTGTACAACAAAGGCACTCCAAAATCCCGAAGCCTGATTTCATGAATCTGGTTAGTTCGCAGACATCGACATACGAGTAAAATTTATTAAGTTATTAGAAAAACATGAATAAAACTGGTTATGCACGAACACACACACACACAAAGATGATCAGTTTAAGGATGATGTAAGGAAAATCAATTTTGTTTGAGAAAATTCATGCACATACACAAAAAGGTCATCTTCGCGTAGTCGTCCCTAAGTTTGAACTGATAGGCTACAGGGAAGGCAGCTAGTCAACAGCATCCACCGCCAATTCTCTGGCTACTCTTGTTTGATCGAATAATGAGATTTGGCTGTAACTCTTACAACGCACCCACTAACACAGAGTCCGGAGCGCGTTTTACTGTGAACACTTCCATTCAAAGTCTGAGAGTATGCAAACAACTAGGGTTGATTATTATTTAAAGCAAAGCCACATTAGGGTATCTGCTGTGTCCTATGTGGAGAATCGAACCCTGAATTTTAGCGCATAAGTCCATAAGCCTACCACTCTCCCACCGGGTGACACCACAATAGGCAACAGAGAGATCCGGCTCTCTTGTTATTCTCCCTCCAGGACGCTGCCTGTGAGAGAAATACAAGTTTCAGTAAGATATTAATAAAACAGTTTTCTCACGATCTATACGTTATGTCATTAAAACTTGAAGTAATAAAATTAAAACTGTCAACTAGTGTCAAACGCCTGGAAACACTGCTAATATGCCAGGCAATGATCTAATCACTTCACCATTTGTAAGTTGATAATAAGTTAGAAAAAAAAAACGTTCTTTCCACTTCAGATAATTAGAAGAAAACTTGTATTTTAACCGACGTTTCGCCTCTGTGGCTTCTTCAGGGCTAGTACACAAAACTGTTTGATATTACAATGTTCATTAAATTACAGATCTGTTCTATTTCTCGAATCTATATATTCTATAGATTGTTAAAGGCACGTTGCGGCAGACTGGAGAAATAGAACAGATCTGTTCTATTTCTCGAGTCTATATATTCTATAGATTGTTAAAGGCACGTTGCGGCAGAAATAGAACATTACAAGCAGTTTAATAATTTAACGAACGTTGTAATATCAAACAGTTTTATTTACTAGCTCTGAAGAAGCCACAGAGGCGAAACGTTGGTTAACATATAAGTTCTCTTATAATCATCTGGAGTGTAAAGGTCTTTTTTCTTCAAACTGTATTATCAAAATATATAAATCCTCCTAGTATGCATTACAAATTTTGAAATACACCAAAAATTTCTAAGTCGATAAACAAACGCTCGTTTTCTAAATACAAACTGGAATTTATAAAATATATCCATAGGCTTACAAACATTCAACAACTTTTAGATTCAAAGCACCGACTACCGCTTACTCTTGGGCTACTCTTTTTACCAACAAATAGTGGGATTCACCAAAACGTTATAACCAGTGGTGTAGTGCTAAATAAAGAAGGTCCAAAACACGATATCTACTTCATAACGGGTGAGATTCGTTTGAAATAGTGGCGGTACGGCGTTTCCGCTATAAAAAAAAAGTACATGTACGCCGTGTTCACGCGTTCCCACCCCACTGCACCTCTGATTATAACGCCCCACAGAGAAAACAGCGAATGTACTAAGTGAATGGTTTCTACCCAGCGCCCCGCAGATTGCTAGTCGAGCGCTCTAACCACCAGATCACGCCAACCCTCGGGATTCTTTATAACATCACTCATTTCAGAACACGTAATATAATTTATAATTGAAACAATGAATCAAACATATTTACAAATGAACACACATATACATATACATATATATAATTCCGTGTGGTTGGACAAGGGAATCGATTACGATTATCTAAAAAAGTCTGTGTTACGATCTATACCTTGGAACTAAACCAAACTTAACTTTCTGCATAGCCAATTTATGATCAGATGAGTTGGTTTGAATTTCGCGCAAAGCTACACGAGGGCTGTCTGCGCTAATCATCCCTAATTTAGCAGTGATAGACTGGAGGGAAGGCTGCAAGTCAACGCCAACTCTTGGGTTACTATTTTACCAACGAATAGCGGGATTGACCGTCACGTTATAACGCCCCCACGGCTGAAAGGACGAGCTCGTTCGGTGACGGGAATTCGAACCCGCTACCCTCAGATTGCCAGTCGAGCGCCCAAACCACTAGGTCATGCCAAGCCGATTGGATAATAATCCTAGAAGAATGAATACCACTATGGAACGTGGATCGTGATGGCTGAAGGGCATTATAAAGAAAACTCTTTCGAGAAAATTTTGTTTCAGCGCAAAATCACACAATAGCCTATCTGCACTTTGTCCAAAATTACTCAATACGTGAACACCAGCAATGAAGGGTATAAGTTGGTGATTTCATGGTTAAAGAAGCGTTTGAAATAAGAAATAAACTGTTTAATCTATGATTTTCTACTTTTTCTCTCTCCACAGAATTTGACATTTGGTTATAAGTTTTGTTAGTTTGGGTTAATATACAATAAATGCCGTTACTGCAGAGTACCGACTTAATCAAAAACATGACGAGTCTCAAAGAATACAAAATAT